AGGTCATCTCCACACATACTGCTCTCTCTGCTTCGGCTCTCTTTATTTCTCTCAAAATGTCTGAAGTACAGTATTTTCTGGCATATAAGACTACTTTTTATACTTAAAAATATACCCCAAAAATTGGGGGTCGTCTTATACGCGGGGTATAAAATGTGAACCTTGAGTTTGTTTGGATCAAGCTGGCTGTATGTGTGGTAATACTGTACATACTACTGCGCTGAGCCAAGCTGGCTCAAAAGAAATGTCCCTATGACAGATTAATCTGTCAGCCCGCTGGATGTGCGGTATATACAGTATACTGCGTTGAGCCAAGCGGTTTCAAAACGTACCGGTACGTCCCTACTGTAATCAGCCTGCTGGATGTGTGTATGTACGGTAGCTGCGGCTACATACAGTATACACTGGGCCAATCACGGTGAGTAATGTATTCTATTAATGAATACAAAGCCTGCTCAGAGGTGTCACAGGTTTTGAAACAGCTTGGCTCAGTATACTGTATATACCGCACATCCAGCGGGCTGACAGATTAATCTTTCATAGGGAAATTTGTTTTGAGCCAGCTTGGCTCAGCGCAGTATACTGTATGTACATTACTGCACATCCAGCGGGCTGTATATATACTGTATACTGTATGTAGCCGAAGCTACCGTATTACCGCACATCCAGCGGGCTGTATATATACTGTATGTAGCCGAAGCTACCGTAGTACCGCACATGCAGCGGTAACCATCTGATTTAGAATTTGATCCATATGATGACTGTCTTACAAATGTATCACAAGATGTCATTCATGAACGTATGATGTCAGAGGATGAACATGAGGATTTTGAAGGATTTTAAGTAGCGGTAAGTCATAACCATTTCAATTAAAAAATCTGATGTTTTTAAATGGTGTTGCCTCGCAAGGGGGGTAGTCTTATACGGCGAGTATAGCCCAAAACCTATGTTTTAACTGGAAAATTAGGGGGTCGTCTTATACACCCAGTTGCCTTATACGCCGGAAAATACGGTAGTTAATTTTTTTTTACTGTTTTTCAGTGCATTTGGGAAGGTCTCCTGATGTTATCTTTAAAAAACACTTCTAAACGCAAACGTGCATAAACGCAGTATGAAAACGCGGCTAAACAGATGTTTTTTAACCTACGTTTTCCAGCAGTCAGTTTCCATCAAAGTGTTTTCCAAACGTCCCATATACATGAGCCCTAAACGTAAAAATCAGTGCTCCTTTTTATATCAACAAAAAAAACTCCAAAAATGTGTCTTCAGTGTACATATTTGAATTCTACCACTAATTTTATATATATATATATATATATATATATATATATATATATATATATATATATATATATATATAGGGGCTGGACAAAAATATGGAAACACTACATGATTTGCAGGTGTGAAAGCGAAGACATGTTCCGCGTTGAAAACGGGAGTGATGTAACACACTTTTGCTTCTGCTGTGTGATGAGATAAGAGGTGGGAAGCCTCACTTTCGTCATTCACTGCGTGCGCTGCTTGTAATACAGAGTCATGTCAGAGCTTACTGACCTTCAAAGAGGGAAAATTATTTGTGCAGCTTAGCTGGTACCTCTGTGACTGAAGTTGCCAATTTATTTGCCTTGTCAGGAGGTACAGTATCAAAGGCTATGATGGCATGTACAGTTTCTGGGAAAACGTTAACTGATAAGCATAAGTACGGTCAACTGACCAAAAGAGAAAGGGACATTGTGCAGAATTGTGACCTGGAATAAGAAAACAACTGCTGCAAAAGTAACTGCAGAGCTCAATCTCAGTGTTCAAGGGCCTCAGTCTTTATGGGACTGAGATTGAGCTCAGTCTTTGGATTGAGAACAATAATAGAGGGGAAATCTTCCAAGCCAGAAACGAATTATGGTGACACCCCAGGATTCCCTCACTTTGGAAGGATTTGCTACAACTTCCTGGTTTGGCAACAGGACACAGATGGCAAAAATAAACTGACGGGTTATAACCTTCTCCTACTCCATCCAAAACGAACGGACAGGGGTTATAACCCTCCCCTACTCCATCCAAAATGAACAAAAAAGTTTTGGTTTAATTTACACTTTATTACTTCAACCTACTTGCATAAGATGTTCAGGTTTACACAGTTTCCACCCCTTTATTTACCACTTAGAAGTTCTTTGCTCTTTTTACTCACATTTTATTGATTTCACCAATTATATAATAAAGCAAAAAAAAAGCGCCTACATTTTTTTTTAACCACTTGCCTACCGGGCATTTTTATCCCTTTCCTGCCCAGGCCAATTTTCAGCTTTCAGCGCACTTTGAATGACAACTGCACGGTCATGCAACACTGTACCCAAACAAAATTGTTATTTGAGACATATAGAGCTTTCTTTTGGTGGTATTTAATCACCACTGGGGTTTTTATTTTTTGCTAAACTAAAAAAATGACTGAAAATGTTGGGAAAAAAAAGGTTTTTTTCTTAGTTTCTGTTATAAAATGTTGTAAATAAGTAATTTTTCTCCTTCACTGATGTACACTAATGAGGCTGCAGTGATGGGCACTGAGGAGGAGGTACTGATAGGTGGCACTGATGGGCATGGACAGGAATCACTGATGAGCTCTGAAAAGGCAGCACTCATATGTGGCACTGATAGGCGGCACTAATTGGAATGGATAGGCGGTACTGATAGGCGGCACTGACAGGCAGCTCTGATGGGCACTGATATGTGGCATTGATGTACACTGGTGGGCACTGATATGTGGCATTGATGTACACTGGTATGTGGCATTGATGGGCACTGACAGGTGACACTGATGGAGCTACACTGATCATCAGTACCCTGATGATCAGTGTAGATGTGCGCTCTGAGTAATGCCAATTACCGGCTTTCCCCTCCTCATGAACTGTCAGCGGGAGAAGAGGACTCCCGATAACCGGCATTTCCTATTTACATCAGCGATCAGCTGTGATTGGGCACAGCTGATCACATAACAAAGCCAATGTCATCAGCTCTTTACAGTGATCAGTGATCTGCTATGTCCCAGGGACACAACGCACCGCTGATCACCGCGCGCCACGCGCCCCCGAGAGCACGCACGTCATATGCCATCTTCCCAGAATGAGAGAACCGCCGCCCTCCTGTCATTACCTTATATGGCGGGCGGGAGGAGGTTGAAAAACCTTTTTATGTTCTTCTTTTACTTTTGTAGCTTAACTAATAGCTTTTTACGCATCTAAATAAAGCCACCAAAATTGTGGCATCGCATTTGGGGTGTCATTAAGGGATAATGGCACCCAAAAGCACATCACATAGGGATTGCTATGTGATTTGGAATCGCGTTCCAAATCGCAAATGCAGTAATGTGCCCAGGTAACACTGCCATTCCTTACATAAAATGAGGAATGGAAGCTAATTAATTCAGTTTCTGGGTTAAATTCTGGTGTTAATGACAGGTGGAGTTCCAGTACCTATCAGCACTGGAACCCAGTAAGCTTGAGTACCATTTTTAAATGGTGTTTAAAAACAGAGAATTAAAGAGTAAATATAGGAAGGACAATGGACTGGATTGCTCTTCTGATGGACAGGATGATGCAAAGATTTTTTGGATCCCACAGGTCTATTAAAAGCGGAACTTTACCCATAACAACGTGATAAAATAATGTTCTTTAGCTAGGAACATACATTCCACATTAATAATTATGCTTCCAAAATTAGTGTATACTGTACATTGCCTCCAGCAGTGTTCCAGTTTCTTCTTGCTGAAGTGCAACCATTTTGCTGAAGCCTAGAGTCTTGAGCAGCAGTAAATCTTTAGGCTGTCTGCAGATTTTTAGCAATGCCAAAAAATAGAGAGTAACTGAGCATGTGCAGAGCATGGTGAGAGTGTTTTATTGGATTTTAACCATTTTAAGACTGCCCGTAGCAAATGTATTGGTACAGGGCGCCGCGCTGTGCAAAATCATATAAATATGTGTGATTTAGCATTTCCAGGTATGGGGATTGTGCTCGTGCCACCCTATCTGTGCTACCATTGGCTCCTGAGGATGTCAATCACCGGGTCCCAGCCAGTGATTCCCGGTCTGGACTCAGTGATCGTCGGCGAAGCTGAGAGAGGAGAGATCCGTGTGTAAACAACACAGATCTCTCTCCTGTCAGCATGGACGTGCTGCTTTCTATCTCTCTGCACAGCAGGTCTCCCAAGTAAAACACAACCACAATAATAGAGGGGTGTCCACAGTAAAAACACAAACCGCACACTGTTAACCCTTTGATCGCCCCAGATGTTAACATCTTCCTGCCCAGTGTCATTAGTACAGTGTCAGTGCTTTTTATTAGCATTGATCACTCTATTAGTATCAATGGAAATGTCAGTGGCAGTTAGTTCCCCTCCAGTGTCAGAATTACCGCTGCAGTCCCACTATAAGTCGCTGATGTATGCCATTACTAGTATAAAAAATAAATACAAATTTCAGTATACATACTGCCATTTGTAAACGCTATAACTTTCATGTAAACCAATTAATATACACTTATTGGGATTTTATTTTTTTTAGCAAAGACATGTAACACAATACATTTTGGCCTAAATTTATGAAGACATTTTATTTTTTAAATGTTTTTTTTTTTTAATTGGATATGTTTTATTGCAAAAAATATTTTCTTTCAAAATTGTCGATCTTTTGTTTATAGCGTAAAAAAAAAAAAAATGCAAAAGCATGATCAAATACCACCAAAAGAAATCTCTATTTGAGGGAAAAAAATGAGAAATTTCATTTATGTACAACGTTGCATGATCGCGCAATTTTCAGGGATTAAGTAACGCAACGCCGTATCGCAAAAAATGGCCTGGTCAGGAAGGGGGGTAAATCTGGTTAAACAGAATAGGCACTTATCTTTAATGTTTTACATTCCTATACCTCAAAAAAGGGCCAGCCTGAAGTGATCTAGTGATTTATTTTTCTGACTAAAGTTCCACTTTAAATATCTTATAGCGCAAGAAAATAAGTTAACCAAAGAAGCATAGGTGACTTTCTTTTGTTTTAATACCTTACTAGATTTTCATTGTCGCCGATCCCCTTACATGCAGCACACTCTGTCCTCAGATCCTCTGACTTTGGCTTTTTAAGTAAAGTCATCGGCTGCCTCCTCCTCCTCTCTCTTGGTGTCCGTTCCTACAAATGAAAAATAAAAATAAAAATAAAAAATAAAATTGAACTGAAGAAGGCAGCGCATGTTCTCAGATTCTGCTATTTTAACTTGTGTTACCCTGACCTCAGGCTTCTCTTCTTCAAGCAAGAAACTTCTCTTGCGTTTCTGACCTCTGGTCCTCTGAAACAAACAAGAGGTGAGAGGGTCACTTGGAGCGGATGGAAGAAATGTTCTCTGACACACTATAAATCTACAAGGCCAGAGAGAGCTCTTTGTTTTACAGAATAAATACAAATGGGACCTGTCACGATAATAATACAGACAGAGATCATTCCAAGTACAGACCTTCTGTGCATAAACAGGCCATTTTAAAACATTTTTTTCTATTGAAGTTCAACTTGTATCTCAAAAGCAGTTAATGTGTATGTTATCCCAACATTTCATACTCCTGATATTTGTCCGTTGTACCATGTACTGGTGTTAAAACGTCTCCTTTTCTTTTTATATTGGTTCCTTTGTGTGCAATCGCTGGTGAACCTGCCAGTTCCTCTGCTTTCCTATTTTAAACTGACCACGCTAGGCACAGAAGCACATCCTTCTCAGGGTGGTCAGTATTCTGGCTGTGCTGATAGCACAGTCTGCCTGTTCTTCAATGGCCAACACTTGTACTGACACGCCCCCCTGCACAGCTGTTCAATGACAGGATCCGTGTACTGCTGTTTCTCTGCCACCTCCCGACATGCCTCTCTGCAGTCTCCAACCCCACCTCTCCAAGCCCTTTATGCAGCTGAGAACATAGGTTATGTGATAATTTATATTATAAAATAAATAAATACAGTATATACAACTAATACAAAAACCATGTTTTAATTTACTAGAAAAAATAGGGAGTAGAGATCAAACAATGGACTTTACTGGCACATCACGAGACATACACTATATTACCAAACGTATTGGGCCAGCAATCCAAATCATTGGATTCACTTGTTCTAATCACTTCCATGGCCACAGGTGTATATAATCAAGCACCTAGGCATACACACTGCTCCTACAAACATTTGTGAAAGAATGGGTCGCTCTCAGGTATTAGTGGTATAATAACAAAGTGGAAGCAACTGGGAACAGCAGCAACACGTAAAATGACAGAGCGGGGTCAGCGCATGCTGAAGCGCACAGTGCGCAGAAGTCACCAACTGTCTGCAGAGTCAATAGCTAAAGACCTTAAAACTTCATGTGGCCTTCGGACTAGCACAAAAGTGCGTAGAGAGCTTCATGGAATGGGTTTCCATGGTCGAGCAGCTGCATCCAAGCCTTACATCACCAAGTGCAATGCAAAGCGTCGGATGCCGTGGTGTAAAGCACACCGCCACTGGACTCTAGAGCAGTGGAGACGTGTTCTCTGGAGTGACCAATCACGCTTCTCTGTCTGGCAATCTGATGGACGTGTCTGGGTTTGCCATTTACCAGGGGAACAGTACTTGCCTGACTGCCTTGTGCCAAGTGTAAAGTTTGGTGGAGGGGGATTATGGTGTGGGGTTGTTCTTCAGGGGTTGAGCTTGGCCCCCTAGTTTCAGTGAAGGGAACTCTTAAGGTATTGGCATACTAAGGCATTTTGGACAATTTCATGCTCCCAACTTTGTGGGAAGAGTTTGGGGATGGCCCCTTCCCATTCCAACACGACTGCACACCAGTGTACACAGCAAGAGTCCTGACCTCAACCCGATAGAACACCTTTGGGATAAATTACAGGGGAAACTTCGAGCCAGGCCTTCTCGTCCGACCTCAGTGCCTGACCTCACAAATGCACTTCTGGAAGAATGGTCAAACATTCCCATAGACACCCTCCTAAACCTTGTGGACGGCCTTCCCAGAAGAGTTGAAGCTGTTATATTGAACCCTACGGACTAAGACTGGGATGACATTAAAGTTTATGTGCGTGTAAAGGAAGGCGTCCCAATACTTTTGGCAATATAGTGTATAGTTAAAATTCAACATGTTTATTCCAATATTTAAAAAAAAAATACAAATGTATTGTTCATTTTTTTATTGGATACTGAAATAAACTTGTTGAATTTTAACCACCATATATGTCTTGTGATGTGCCAATAAAGTCCTTTGTTTGCTGGTGGCGAAAGGTGGTTTATACCCCTCTCTTCACCATGCTTTTTTTCTAGTTGATATTGGAATGTGGCATTTTAAACAATCTCTATTGGTTTACATGTTTTAATTTAATGTTCCTAAAAATTACCTTTCCTTTTCGATCAGCAGCCACTGTCATTTTCTGCAACATTCAAAGCAATATAGCAATCTGCAGGCTCTCTGTACACAGATGGCGTACAGAACGCCTCCCAGAAATGTCCTTTCCGGCTTGTGTGATTGGCTCACTGATTTTCCCAAAAGTGTGCACTAAAATACAAGTAAAATTTTAAGCATCATCTGCAACAGGAATTTCAGTTTTGGTGATATACTCTACAAGGGCTTAACACTTCTAAAGGGATGAAGACACTGCAACTTTTCTCATCAGAGAACTGAGAGTACCAAGTGATGAACCAGACCCTCCCATTCAGAATCAATCTGAAAAGAACATGCTAAAATAAACTGCTACCTCTGGGTGACCTATGTACATTGCAGGGATTTTCACAAACGTTGTTGCAGTTTCTGCTCTGAAGACAAACAGTAGCAGTTTGTTGTGTGCAAAGTGAATCTGAGTGGGAATGACTTTTTAATATATTGGCTGATGCACTTGCAGGGATCCAAGGAGAATGGCAGGGTCTATATTCCTACAGAAGTGATGAACCCTTTAGGAGCATCTCACCAAAACGGACAATGCCTAGTGCAGACTTCTGGGAAAATCAGTGAATTATTCACACAAGTAGGAAATGACATTTCTGGAGACGTTCCATACATCAACTGTGTACAAAAGCCTCCAGGTTGCCATGTTGCACTGAATTTCACAGAAATTTGCAGCACTGCAGATTGAAAAGGAAAAGTCATTTTAAAAACATTAAAATTACAATACGGCTTGTGCAGCAATTGTATATGCTATATTGTTTTTCCCCATGAAAGTGGGGTTACCCTTTAAGCTCTCAGCATTCTTGTGTGTTGGCGTCACTTGTTGAATGTGGGATGTTGTAGGGGACTCAGCCCCTAGCCCTGTCATTCAAACAACCACCTGCTGTCGCCTTTGTGATTCTAGAACTTCGGCTTTGCCACTAAGTTGTTATCGGCTATTTTTTTTTCATTCAGTTCTATCCAAAGTTTTCTTCTTTGCCTTTCTGTACAGAGACTGAACTCAGAGATAAACATAGATCTTATTTCCACTCCAGCCGTGAATTTGATTTATAGCAAGCGCGTAGGAATCTGAGCGGTAATTAAATTAAATCTTAAGCCTTGTTCTGCTTTTTCTTCATAATCTCATCTTTCTATTTCGCTGTATGGATGAAGTAGTTTCAAATCTGCGTCAACGTGTGCCTTACTTAAACACTTAGTGTTGGCGGACCTTTTCTCAAGGAGCGAACAGTATCACACCTGATGTCATTTTTCAGGGATCAAAAGGCTAGCTTTCTGTGCTGGTGGAAGTAGGGAGGCTGCCACAGCTGAAAATGCTGGTTTTCTGGCTTTGCTGCTGATTACCACTTTTTTCCCCCCCCCCCCCCCAAAAAGGGGGGAAAATGTCAGTACGTCTTATGGAGCGAATATATAGCGGCCGGTCCGGTATTTCCGCCGCCGACACCGTGTCAGAATACCGGGCCGGCCGCTCAGCTCTTCTCTGCAGCAGGACCTTACCTTAGTCTTCCCGCGCTAGCCTCTTTAGTGTGGGAACCCAGCTGTGACAGCCGGGTGCTCACTGCGCATGCGCAAGAAGCGCTGCACTTTGTGAATGGCCCGGCGTGGTCTGGGACCTGACTGAAAAGAAATATTTATTTCAGTCAAGTGGGGTTTAAAGCCCAACTCCAAGCACCATATTTTTTTTTTTTTTTAAACAAGCTTTATTGAAATTGTTAACTTCTGAACAGGGGCGGACTAATTATTTGGAAACTCGGGCACTGCCCGAGGGCCTGGGATCAGTAGGGGGCCCCATGAGATGCCCCTGGTACCTTTTTCATAGGCTTTTTTGAGTTTGGGCAAGGACACAGGGGCCCCATGATCCCCTATTGCCCGGGGGCCCCATGAGTTGTCAGTCCGCCCCTGCTTCTGAAGTATATTAATTTAAACTCTATTTTCGTCAGATTAAAATCAATGCTTTCAGTGTATGGTTCAGCTCTCTCTGTGCTGGAGAGCAGTGCTGATGATTTTCTCCATCCATGTCACTTATTTGCAGTGTGAAACACTCAGAAAATTAGGTTCCGGTATGTCACAAATCTGGTGACTCACGCTGGGGGTGCAGGCTGGGGAGGAGCCTGTCCTGGCTGGTTGTATGAAGTGAAACAACAAGAAGCGCACCAACCTTGTGCATTACCTCAGTAACCAAAATGTATTTAGTAAAAGAATGGTACTCACAAACAGCGAATAAAAACAGGCATGTAAGTCCTCCCAGGGACTTCAAAGGCAAGAGGCCAGCACGAGTCCCATCATGGGGGTAGGCACTCAGTACAGCTGACGCGTTTCGAAGGTCATGCCTTCTTCCTCAGAGCTGAAGCCTGTTTTTATTCGCTGTTTGTGAGTACCATTCTTTCACTAAATAAATTTTGGTTACTGAGGTAATGCACAAGGTTGGTGCGCTTCTTGTTGTTTCACTTCACAGTTCTGTTCGGGCTTCCCCAGCATTGGCTTGGAGCTCCACACCTTGTATACTCCGGTGGTTGCTTTTTTGGAGTTTTGATTTCATCTACTCACCACCGGCCTGGGTCCCGGAGCGCAGGAGAAATTGCATTTGGTTCACTGGCTGGTTGTATACAATAGAGAGAACCACCTCAAATGCCACACACCAGCAGAGCCCGATAGTCACAGTAATGACAGCAGCCTCAGCCTGCCTCCATCTGCACATCCCCAACCCGATTCATCCTGCCCACTGGGCTTAGTCATGGAGGTCCATGACTAAGCCCCATGGGCAGGGTGAAACATGTTGGTGGGCGGGGAGAAACAAGTCAATAGGCGTGGCCTGGGTGGAGCCAGACTGAGGCTGCTCTCATTACTAGGACTATCGGGCTCTGATTGTGTGCTCCACTTGGCAGAGTGTT